GGACGGAAAAACAAACCCGGGACAAAATTACAGCCGATGACCCCAAAAATCATCTATAAAAACAATTTAAAATCTATGAATTTAGCAAAAATAATCAGGAAATTAAAACAATCCAGCCGGCCTTGATTGTGAACAAACGAATAGTGTACTGTATGTATGTATGCATGCATGCATGCATGCATGCATGCATGCATGCATGTATGTATGTATGTATGTATGTATGTATGTATGTATGTATGTATGTATGTATGTATGTATGTATGTATGTTAAAACCAAAACATGATGAGTGACACTGAACCGTCAAACATCAAGTAACAAATGGATTAACACTTTGATTTGTCGTTAATTGCACATGTCCGCATTCAGTTGGATATTTTCAAGCACACAGACACGCAGGAACCGCTGCAACAAGCACGAAATGTGGTTGGTTGCAAAAAACAGTTCCCTGCTGTCACCTGATCTGACACTGATCATTTTGCCTATTTCCTTAAGAAATTTAAGGGTGTTGGGGTCCATCGGGCCGAGAACCTCGATGCATATTGGCAAGAATTCCATCGAGGGGAGGGCATTCCCATATTTTTTCATTTTCTCGTCCGCTGCCCTGGCCGCGGCCAAACCGCATTCTTTACTTGTCAGGTTTACGTATCGTTCGGCGAGGGTGCCAGGGACCGTAACATCCCACGCCAAACATCTGCCGGCTCTCCAAGGTATTAGCGTGCATCCGTCCGGTCGCCTACCATCATGCGCAGAAATGCCGGATGGTTCCTTGAGAACCGGGATTGAAGCCTTGGAGAAGAGCCGACAAATGTAATCGTTTAGCGCTAAGTGACGTAGTTGACGGCCCCCACCCAGGCGACAAACCAAACCGTGGTGCCCAAACTCGTCCGCCTAAGCGCCACATCGGCACGTGTATTTATTCTGAATGACCAGGCCAAGTCTGAAGCCAATGGCAAATCTTACAGACTCGTCGTCAAGCCTGGTGCCCACAGAGGTGTTAGGCCACGATCTCAACCACCCACAGCTGGCAACGCTGGACATGGCCAACAAACGAGCGGTGGAAAAGTCGTCGCCGCATGAAGACAACAAATTTTGAAAGATTTTTTTATATTCTTCGTTCAAAATTTGGACGTGCGTACGGTCCCCCGGGGCGGACGCTGGGAGAAGAATATCGCGGCAACGAAAAAACCGGTGGAGCAGGGAAGACTGTAGGTCGAGAGTGGCAGCGGCAGAAGAATTATAAACAACGGGAGCCAGCTGAACCACGCTAAGCAACCCCAGCCCACCAAATCGCACCGGCAGCTGAGCCTGGGACCAACCACTGTCGGTCACTTGAACATTGCAAATCGACGACAGGGCGGTGCGCAGGGCTCCGTCAAATTCGCCCAATTTAGAAGGGTCAATGTGTTTAGATGTACGCAGGAAGTACATCAATTTGGGCAAACTGAGGGCATTGCGGATAATAGTCAAGGCATCATGGGCCGAAAGACAGGAAACACGACCCAGGCCGAATTCAAGCTCAGAGAGCTTTTGGTCAAAAAACTTTATTTGATAATCGCCCTCGAACAAGGGTGTGCCTATAAAACTCAGTTCTGATGCACCAACTCTGGGTATTTCAGCCAGCGCATGTGGCACCTGAAATAAACTTTGGCAGTGAAGTTCGCATTTTTTAATGTTTAACTCTAAGCCAATTGCAGCGGAGTTATGCTTCAAATATTCGTAGCTATCGGCCAGAGTTGGACCGTCCGAAGCTATGCTGATATCATCCAGATAAGCGCAAACGAAGGTGGACGAAGCTTTCTCTAAGAGTGGATGAAGAGTTAGTGCGAACAACAAAGGACCAAGGGGATCACCCTGCTGTACCCCCTCGGACGATTCTACAACCCAAGTGTGGTAGCCAAGGGAAGAGACTCCGCCATAAGCAGAATGGCAAAAATTATAGATGTTGGGGCAAAAAAGTTTGACAGCCTCCAACATCGAGTCTCTTCTCAAGGCATTGAAGGCATTTTTAAAGTCCAGTTTCAGAAACCCCCATTGATAGGGGAGGTCGGTGACCAATCTTCGAACCGCATGAACAGCGGCCTCAGCGCCACCCTTAATCCCGACACCCAACTGAGTCGGGTAGAACTTGGTCTTGAGTTCGACCACGACCAGGGCCAAGGCACATTTGCCGGCCAACCTCCTCCAAACGTTCCCGACCGCAATCGGTCTGACCCCTCCGTCTTTCTTATTTAAAGCTATTAGCCGGCCTCCAAAAAAGAACCGGCGGACGGAGAGTGGGCAAGCTCCAGATAGGATCAAATTAATGAATTGGGTTAAGGAGTTCAGTGTGTCGTCAATTGGCAAGGGGCCTGAAAAAACATCCTTAAGGTGCTGGGGTCGTAGGCCATCCTGGCCTCCAGATGAACCGTTTTTGAAAGATTTAACGGCCCTCAGCACCTCGGCGGGAGAAACGCAACCAGCCGTTGGTGTCAATGCGGGAAAGACCCGCCTGTCCACCGGAATTTTTGGGTGGATAGAACATAATTTATCGAAGGTGGCCGGCGAGCTCTCCGCCAGGCCCTCCGGCGAGCAGACAAGTCTGACCGCCGAGGACAGGTTTCCCTGTTCAATACAAGATGACACAGCGTTGATCCATCGATCGGGGTTGTGCTTTTGTGATTTGGCATTATTGAACCCATCAAAGCACAGTACCAGGGTTTCAAGACCAATAGTTGAATATTCGCTTAGACGCTTGTTGACCAGATTGCCCTGGTTGACCCGGCGACCTCCTCTGGAAGTCTTCTGTAAGACGTATGGGACAAAACAGTGGAGTCTAACCCAGTGAGCCGGGTCACCAGGGTCGTTACAAACAGCCGTCAGCAAGACGTTCAGATCATGTGCGAACTTCTCCCTGCATGGCTTAGGGATATGGTCGTACACCGGTA